GTTTTTCCATGACTGCATCCGGCCGCCGGCCGCCTTTGTTCCCGCCATCCCCGGCCTGCCTGCGCGCCGGGGTTTTTCCAGGGCTCAACTAGAGCTTGGAGGAGCCGCCTCCCGCGCCCGGGCCCTGGCGGCGCCCCCGGCAAGCCCCCGAGTCTCCTTCAGGGAGCCGAGCCCTCTCCAGACGCGCTGGCCCGTCCCCCCGTCCCCCTCCAGGGCCTGCGGCCTCCGAGCCCCACTCGTGCGCAAAGTTGGCCGTCACCAGGCCCGCGCGCCTCGGCGCTTCGCTAAGGCGCTGTCGGCGCCCCTAGTCCCTCCCAGGGGCTGCACGTTCCGGGACGCCAGGATCGCCTCTGGCTCGGGGTGGCGGAAGGGCCTCACGTTTCTCCCAAGGGGCAGGCAGCGCAGTCCGGGCGTTAGGAGGCCGGGCCAACCGCAGAGGGGAACCCGCGCGCGCTCACACGTCCCGGCGCGGCCCGGAGGTCACCGCTCCGGCAGCTCCCAGGCGGAAGCAGCTTCCACCTCCCGGGAAAATGGGCACACTTGCGGGCAGAAAGCGACAGAGCTCGGAGGGCTCCTTCGTGCCCCACGGATCCCCTCCCCGCTGTCAGGAAGGGGAGATGGGCCGAAAAGGGACCTTAGAGAATTGGGTGGGGTGGGGGGGAGGGCGGACATTTGAGAAATTGAGGGCAGGCCGGAGCCCGGGTCACCCCCTAGGGAAGTCACGGGCCCCTGGGGACTGCGTCGCGGGCCGATCTGTCCTCGCTGAGTTGAGTTCAGTTTGTGAGTCCCTGCGCACTGCGACTTTGCGCGCCTGGGAGCTTCCAGCCCTTAACCCGCCATGTTGGCGGGAAAGCGTAAGAAACGCGGTTTGTTTCTGAGGGAGGCTCGCTAACCCTGCCGGAGAAGCCAGGCTCGCGGGGTGGCCTCCGGGATGAGGGGAGCGTGTGCGCAGAGGAAGGGGTCCTGGATGAAGGAGCTGTCTGCCTCTGTAGGACTTGGGGGGTCCCGGGCGGGGCCCCTTCCCACAGCCCGGCAGGAGGCGGGCCTCAGATGGCTACGATAAGGAGGTGCGGGCGGGAGGAGGCTGGAGGCTGCGGGCCACCCAGATCCACAGCTGCCTGGCTGTGCGGGGCGGGAGGGCGCGCCCCTCCGGCGTTTGAGTGCCAGGTCCCTGGCCTGCTGGGCCGGCGTCTTCCCCTGTCCCCTGGAGCATTATCTTGCTTCCTAAGCAGTAATGGGGGAGCGCGCAGGCTGCTCTGGAAGGGCCCCGCCTCCAGGCGCTGCAGAGTTCTGAATTGTCAGCTTCTCCTGCTCTCTCAGGTGTCGCACCCGGGTGCCGTCCTACTCAAGAATGACTCAGATGCCCTTTGCCCTTGTGGAATTGATGGGAGGTTCCAGAAGCAGAGGCAGAGCACCTGGCTGGGGCTCAGCTGCTCCCATAAGGGAACTGAGCTGCCTGCAGCCGTCTCCCATCGGTCCCCACGCCGTGAGGAGGGAGGCCCTCCGTGTGTACAGGTCCTCACACCTGTTGGCCACAGCACTCAGCCAAGCAGGGCCTCCTCAGACCCACCTAAGCACATTGGGGTGAGGGTGTCTCTAAGCAGGATGCAACCCGGTTCCCAAAGTGATAGCGTTCTGGCTTCTCCTTTCTTCTCCCTTCACCCTGTCAGGGGTGCAGGCATTGTTTAATACGGTCTAGACAATCCAAAGTGGTTCAAATGGTGAGCCAGACAGTTTGTCCCTGTCCTCCCTGGCCGGGGTCGGCCGCCAGCAGGGCAGGGTAGAAAGAACCGTTGGCAGATGCTCGGTGCGATGGCTCACGGGCATGCTTCCCACAGGAGGCGAACATCTAAGGTTCTGTCACTCGGAGATGAGGCGATTGTGCCACTAGCATTCTGTTTGCTGTTCCTTTGTCCTCAGCTGTCCTGTCCACCATGTACCCATCAGTCTCCATGTTCTTGCTCAGGCTGAGACTCTGAAGCCCTGGCCTTGACCATTATTCCTCCCCATCACCTCCCACCCACTCACGTACACATTCCAGAACCTTCCAGAACCCATTCACATACACTTTCCAGGTAAGAGTGTTTTCTCCTCCCTTTAAAGGCAAAGGGTTCGGGAGAGCAGAAACAGAGGATACTTTGATCTTGGTGGGGTCTAAAAGTGGAATAAAACTTCCAATAATGATAGCAAATACTTATTTAGTATTTGCTATATACCTGGCTTTTTACATGTCTTAATTCATTTAACCCACATAACCACCCTTGGAGGTAGGCACCATTTATTATCTCCATTTTATAGATGAGAATACTGAGGCACGAGAAGTGAAGCAACTGTCCAAGGCCACACAGTAAGAGGCTAAGCTCCATGTCAACCCAGCAGCAGGCTCCAGGGCCCATGCTCCTAGACTGTGCTTGTGAAATTTTGTGCCAGCAGCATCGGGAAACGGTATTGTGCATAGCTCATCTGTAAAGTGGGAGGAAAACAATAGGTGTTGGGGTTTAGGAGACATTTTTCTAGGGAAGAGCCACATTCATAATGGTGATGTCTGCCCCAGCTCCCACTCTGTGGCTGTTACAATTGTTTTATGGGTTTCTTTTTTAATTACGACTGTCAACTGAGAAATTTATAACAATCAGATGATCACCTTGCCGGTAGAAGACTCCAAGTCCTTCCGGCAGTAATGTGGATCCCATAACATTTCACTTCATATTTATTGCCTTGCTTGTCTGTGCCCAGCACTATAGCAGACCTGGGGGGGAGGGAGAGCAGTCTTAGCAGGAAGAGGGCTCACTTCACTGTCTTCTCGAGGAGATCGTATTTACATCCATGTAACCGTGATACCTTTAATTGCCAAAAGGAGCAGTTCAGTTAACCAGCAGATAATATGTGATAAGGACCTGTGGCGACCGACTCCAGGGTGGCCCCGTGATCCTTTCTGGTCTTCATGCCCTTCTGTAGCTCCCTCCCCTTCAGTGTGGGCAGGACCTGTGACCTGCTTCTAACTAATGGAAACAGCAAAGGGAACAGAATGTATGTGACTCTGTTATATAAGACCATGAGGACAGTTTTGCTAGGATGCCTCCTCCCTTGCTGGCTTTGCAGAAGCAAGCTGCCATGTTGTGAGCTACCTGTAGAAAGGGCCATCTGGGAAGATACTAAAGTACCAATCAACACCGAGCAAGAAACTGAGGCCCCAGCCACAAAACCTGGAAGGGACTGAATTCTGCCAACAACCACATGAGCTTGGGAGAAGATCCTTCCCCAGTCAAGCCCTCAATGAGGCGTCAGCCCTGCCCAACACCTTGATTGCAGCCTTGCAGAGGACTCAGCCAAGCCATGCCCAGGCTCCTGTGAGAAACTGAGGCAATAAATGTGTATTGTTTTAACCTGCTGTGTTTGTGGTAATATTGTTATAGAGCAGCAGAGAATGAATACAGGATCTGTAAGGTGAAAAGTCCTGCATGGGATTGTTAGGTGACACAAAAAAGTCTAAGGGACTCAGCACTTCAGGAGCTTTCTGGCAGTAAAGGTGAGAAAAGAAACAGCGTGGTTTTCCTATTTGACAAAACGAAATTAATTTTTTAAAAGGGGGCACCTGACTCCTGGTTTAAGAGGAATATGTCAAGTGGACAGTATCTATGTACCAGTGTCAAATCTGCAGAGCCTAGACCCACCTGCCATTCCAGATCCCTCCTCATCCCGCCTGCCTTCTGGTCTGATCTCCTGCCACACCACATCACACGCTCCCACTCACTGCACTCCTCTTGAACTGCCCTTCTCTGCCCATAGACTCCTATATTTCAAGGACCAGCTGGGACCTGTCACCTCTTTAATTCCCAAGTAAAATTAGCTGCTTCATTTGTGAACTCCCAGATCTCTGTTATCAAAGACATGATGTCATATTACTCATTTCTCACTAAGCCTTTACTGAGCACCTACTAAGGTGAAAGAGGTAGTCACAAATACAGCACAGGGCTGTCCTTGGGGCCCTACAGTCTGGTGATGGCACTGCTGTCATGGGTCTGTCCTCTCTCTGCATCCCCAGAGCTTAGCATAACACAGCAGCCACAAGTCTCAGTGTTTGTGGGATGAATGATCAAGGCCGGGCAGGCCTTCCTGTGGTAGTTCGTGAGCAGTTGCTGGCTTCCTGACAGGCTGTTGGGCATATGGTAGCTTAAAATATGCCCCCAAATAATGCCCCCAAGTAGCTGAATCTGTTGTGTACTATGATTTAACCAACATTTAGCATGTCCAGAGCAAATGTCAGCAGCGGTGGACTTAGTTTACCTGTAATTATATGAGGCTTTGGGGGTTGATTTTAATTAATCAATAGGTTCAGCAGCATTTTAAGGTTGTTTGTGGTTTATCGTAGTCTAGTCTTTGCAGTATGAAAGGAAATAGGGAACATCCTGTGCCAGTGATTAGAGATTTATGCATCTAATTTATCTGAGAACTGAAGGACTTTAGCAGCAAGTTAAAAAGAAAGGGGACCAATGCATGGCCCTATTAGCCCTTGTCACTCAGCACCATGCCCCAGGTGTTTATAAGATGGGCTATTCAGTTCCCTTGTAACTGTGGCAGCCCCACTTGACAAAACCTCAAGGGAGGTGCTGTCTGCACTGTTGGGTGGTGTTTGGGAGTGTCTGGATGCCTGTGGAGCAGACAGGCATTTGGCCACAGTCATGGGGAATAGCCCCACCCCTTCCTGTCCACCCCAGGCAAATGCGTGGCCCCTTGTGTGCAGTTTCCTGGAGAGTCTCCTCCCCCAGCATCCTGGCCCCCAATGGAGGGGGAATGCTACCCCACATTCCCAGGTCTTGGGGTCCTGGCAGCCTCCCCCAGGGTGCATTCCGGACCCTGCGTTTGCTGCATCTTGGATGATTTTCCTGGCTGGGGCCCATCCCTGCACCTGGAGCCTCCATTATCTCTGTTCAGAATGTTCAGGCCACTCCAAAGTCCTCCAGCAGGAACCTGCACCCACCCCAGACACGGACAAGGGCCTCCCAGAGACCTTTTGTGGTGTGTTAAGTTTCCCAGAATCTGACTGGAGTTTTGCTTCACTCCCTGGAACTTGTTTACTGCCAATTGTGGCTCTCCCCTGGGGGTTGTAAGAGCTTCTCCCCAGCCTTGGGAACCTGTTTGGATTTGTTCCCTCACTGCCTGGTTGCCCTCCTTCCCTCCAGGGCAGAGCTGATGCCCCCTTTTAACTTAAGCTAAAGGGGGAACAGTCTCAGGAATGGCCCGATAAAACTTACCCTTGATCCTGTAATCTAAAATCTAAACCATTCTTGAAACATGCCCCTGGTATAATCTCTCCTCCTCCCCCAGCCTTCCTAGATGCACCACTTTGATGTCTTCTTTATGCTCATTTTTCTGTTTGATCCTTGAGACTTGGTGCCCCCAATTTTGGCCTAACCTCTAGCCAGGGACCTGGCATTACTTTGGCTCCCCTCTCAGCCTAGGCACAAGGTTCTAGAAGGGCTGCACACTGCACTCTGTGTGTCCTCAGGGCTCTGCCTCTGCCCAGCCCCCAGCTCCAGTCCCAGGATGTGGCTCCACCAGGGCCACCTGGATGACATCTCTCCAGCCTCTGATCTCTTTCTCAACCAGACAGCTCCACCCCGGGCAGTTTCCAGCTGATGGAGCAGGATTGATAAACACTGTAGGAACTCTGTTCTTCAAAAAGAAAGAAAGTTCTCTTTTGAAAATATGGTTAAGCACATGATTAAAAAAAAGAAAAGCTCAAAAAGCAATGATAATAATAACTCTCAGATACCCTTGCTCTCCAGTTCCACTCTGCACAGGTAACTATTTTTGGTGTTTGCAGTGTTTGCTAGTTTCCTGGTGTAAATACTCCCACCATAGCTGATTTCAAACTACCGACGTGATATCAGTGAAGATGGAGCTGGGAAGAAACACATGCACAGGTGGCTGGGATGACAGCCAGCTCCGGCTCACCAGGGTAGAATAATGTGCACATCGTGAGATGCACACACAGCCAGAAACACACACAAGTGCAATCACAGGACACCTACACCTCGCTTCTTACACTGTACTTAGCCCACTTCTCAGTGAGATGAGGCCAAGTATAGCAGCCTCCGCAGGGGAGTGGAGGGATTGAACCATCCACTCCTCATAGCAGACGATCGATCTATTGGGAGGGTCTGCGCTGCAGTCACTGAGAAGCGCGGTGCATGGCAGCAGACTAGGAAGTCGTCAGGTAAACTACAGGGCAAGCGATCTAAGGAGCTAGTAGTGGGATGTCATTTTTGAAGAATAAAATCTGTGGTTTGAGTAAATTTTTTGGGGGGGTGGGGGCTGGTCAGTACAGGGGAGTCTGAGTAAATCTTGAAGAGACAATATTTTAATTTCTAATTGAGTAATTAGTAATTAAGTGAGCCCTTAATTCAGGACAGGATTTAAACTATTCTGCCAGAAAGAAAAAAAAAATCTTCACCTAGCTCACTTTAAAACTGTGGATTTCCCAGCCAGAGAGAATCCAGGAATCTCCAGAAGCTGGAGCGAGAAGCCTACTGAGGCTCGGCCCGCAGGAGCAGGAGTATGGCCAGGAGCTTTCTCAGTCCTCACTAGAAGCCAAGGCCACCCAGCTGGGACATCCATCAAGATGATGCCTTGGTGGCTGCCTGGGACTCCCTCCGAGCTCCATTAGGAAACATTAGTTTCTTGAAACAAGAATTTGAAAGACGATTTCAACTCCCTGGGTTTCTGGGTGACTTCCTCTGTGGCTGGCTTGTCACTCTGCTTCCTGGCACCTCCGTCAGGTGTTTTGAGCTTCCTGCAGTCTTTGTCAGAAGGAGGACAATTAGGGTTGGTGTCCACCTGGGCTCTGTTGGTCTGGGTTATTCTCTGGAAAACAGCTTCTAATAGACCCCTGAAATGGAGTTTTGTGTACCTTTTATTTTATTTTTTGGTGGCTGGCCAGTACAGGGATCAAACCCTAGACCTTGGTTGTTGTACCCTTTAAATGGTGGAAGGTGACCCTTGGGACCCAAAGGGGCCTCACACCAGGCTGGCCTCTGTGCCCCCTCATTTCCCTGCCTCAATCCTGGGAATGGTTGGACAAGGGGGCATGATGTTGAGCATTAGAATCATATGCCATTGGTTTATGGGAAAGGGATAAATTCTCAAGTGCCCATCTCACGCCTGGAACTAGCAAAGGACTCATTCCAAATCTGTGAGTGTGCAAGCATAAGGGCCCTATGCATCCTGCTGGCCCTTGTCAGCAACAGAAGGTTACAGGTGACTCTGCCTGCAGCACCCGGCTCCCCTTAAGCAGGTGGCTGTTCCCGTGGAAAGCAATCCTCCAGACCCCATCTTTTCCAGAGATATATCTTGGGTAAAGCCATTGCTAATGGGTAAAATGGGAATATGGGAAAAGGGTATATACAGCTAAAGATATATACAAAATTCAAGAGACTATCAGGCTGAAACCTGAGAAATGTGTTCAACTTAAACTCTTTAGCCCACTGCTATAACTGGATTTAAAAGGAGGAGTTAAAATCCTAGAATGGAAACAGATTTGGTATCTAAAGGCTGGTAAAGAAATGAGGCTTGCCCCAGAAAGAGAGGTCACAGTCTTTGGATTTATTCCTCCATCTTGCCATGTTCCAGGAAACAGTTTTTAGTTCATTGGCAGGTATATTTCAGAACACCCTTGGGGGCAGGAAAAATACAACCATTTATTTTTTGGAGTTCAGGGCTACATAATTCTAGAGTGGATTTATACACACAGTCAGGGTCAGACTTGCCTAATACATTTAGGCTAAAGGGTAGTAATGCTGAAGATTTCATTCCTCCCATGGGAAAATTGCTGCATGCACATTCCGAGGCATTCCGTGGGAAGGGCAGAGAGCTTCAGAACCATACAGGCTAAAACTCTTCTAGGGCTGTGAATCTGAGTGCAGGCAGAGGGCAGTCTGGAGTCAGGGGACTCCATAGACAGGGTGCCTAGGGAGGGGTCCCACGAGGAGCACAGAGGGTCTTGGGTGGATTTGTCATTCAGGGTCAATAAGGAGGAAAGGTCTGAGCTACATAAACATTCAAGAAAAAATTGGAAGTGGAAAAGATGGCCTGGAAAATATATAAGAAAATCATTTTTTAAAAATAGCCAATCTGGGGCCGGCCTGGTGGCACACTGCTACAGTGCGCCGCTTGAGAGCGTGACGGCGCTCCCGCCGAGGGTTTGGATCCCACATACAGACCGGCTGCTCACTGGCTGAGCGAGGTGCAGGAGCAACACCGAGGGTTGCGATCCCGTTGCCAGTCCCGGTCCGGTACGGGCGCGACACTGAGGGTTGCGATCCGGTGCCGGTCACGAAAAAAGACAAAAAGACAAAAAGGAAAAAAAATAAAAATAGCCAATCTG